CCCAGAAATGCCTCTGATAATCTTGTAAGGGAGGTGACTTGGATGGGTTGAAAAAGACCACAAAGCAGGATTGAAAAAAGCAATGGAAATTGCACAAAGGGAAAGTGGAGAAAAATATACCCAAAGTTTGCAGAAAGCAAAGCGTTCAGAACGGGTTTTTGATTTGGATGGGCGACCAAAGGGAAGGATTCTGTTGTATTTTTCCTCTGATTTTTTATCGACAGCCAGGGATCAAATACATTCACTGACACAGACAAAGAAAAAAGGAACTGAAGTGGGGTGAGACACAAAACTGTAATACTGGAGTGGACAACAAGGAAAAATGTGCAGTTTCGCCTCCCTTTCAAAAATCGCAGTTGATCTGTTGGCTAAGAAGAGAAAAATCATTTTCTTCTTCTGAACTTCCGTAATCGTTTGATGATTAAAGAGGTTATGAAATCTTTGCCCATAAAAAGGGCAGTGAAAAAATATGGGTAAGTCTAATTCAGCTTCCCCAATAGGGGTTAAAGTTTGAATTAATAATAAATTGGGCTAGCAATTTAATTGATTTCTGAAATTTATAGAGGGCTCCCATTTCAAAAGGCGCATGAGCTCTTTTAATGAAGAAAGTGGACAAACAGCCCCAAACTGTTGCTCATGAGGAGGACCTGGAATCCGAAATGAAAATTTGGCAAAATAATGCAGTGATTTTAACCTCTTTGGCCAAACAGGGACAATGTTCTGTTGGGAGGCAAGGACAGGAAACACCTAATATTTGAAGAAGGCCATAACAGCAAAATGGCAGCCATGATCAGCTGGGCTATTTCACACAATTTATATTTATTGATTCATAAAACCTATTTCTAGGGCTGTGCTGACTCCAGAACCACTCGATAGCTTAACAGATCACCATATCAAAAAAGGACAATAGTCATTCAGAACATTCTGGCAAGAGTTTTCATTCTTCCTCTTTTGTGGCGAGAAGGTTGGTGGCTTTAAAAAAAAACTTTAAAAAAATTAGCTTTAGGGTTTACAGTATAGATTGTATGGATTTGCTGCCTTGAATTAATAGGGATTTATACTGTCAAATGAGGACATTGAGTAGAATAAGGTTCTGGAGAGCGTAGAAAGGTCAATTGGATTGTCCATCTTAGCCTTTTAGAAAGGGTTGGACAACAAGTTCAAAATTGTCTCTGCTTGAGAGAATGGGACCAGCCTCGGAAGTCCTGCTTTGATTTCTGAAGCTGCAAGCTAGTCTGAGAAGACAGGAAAAGAAATCCTCAGAGAAGGCAACCATGGGCTACTTTGTCCATCAAATCACCAGAAGTCAAGATGAACTTGAAAGAAACTTGACCTTTTGGATCTCTTGAAACAAGTTCAAGGAAGGGAGATGGCTTGAGATGTGGCATAGAAGTCAAGCAAAGCAAATGACAGGAGGAATGCTTTGCCTGGAGAAATGAAGATGGACAGGAGATGTGATCATGGTGACAATATCTGAAGGGCTATCACCAGATAGGAGAGAAACCAGACTGACAGGCTTTAAAACTGAACACATCTCAAGGGCATTCTGTTGAGAAGTCTGGCTGACGAGAAAAGGCAACCACAGAGATGACACAGGCACTTAAAAATGAAGTGCCTGAAGGGGTTTGCAGGACAAGAACCAGCTTGGAAAGTCACACCCTCCAGAAACAAGAAAAGGATGCCTGGAGTTGATCCTTTCTTAGAATCATCTGCTTCAAACCAGAGATGGGGGTAAGGGAAGAGAAGAAAGGACTATCTGGGCTCCATTGCCTTTTTGAGGCTGCGTCTCATTCTCCTCTTGGGACTCCTTTGTCTATCTCCTTCTTGGAAAGCAAGTCTGATAGCCTGGGTTTGGATTTCAACGCATCTCGTGGTCTGGGATTCTATAATGAAGCCCCCTGTTGCCAGGGGCTGTTTACCTGTCGTCCAGGCAACGGGGGTGATGTCATCGGTCCCTTTCACCAGAAAAACACACAACTGTGGGGAGGGGGAAGAGTGGCTTTGGGGAACAGCAATCAGCCTCTCACCCAAGTGGTCCATGAGCTCAGATGCCAAGCCCTCCAGGGATTTAATTATGATTGTTATGTTTAAAGAAGCACCAGCTTACTCCAAAATGTGCTGCTACGTCAGCATTCATCTCAAGCAGCAAATGGAAACGGGAGCCAACCTGGGGCCAGGGAAGAAGGTTGTAAGGCTGGCGTCCCCACCATCTGCAGAACTTCAGAACCAGCCATCAAAACCAACACTAAGCATGGTTTAATAACCTCTAAACCCTGGAAGGCAAAAGAGGGAATGGAGAAGGTGAGATGGAATCACCTGCAGAAGGAGAGGAACCCAAATGACGCAAAGTGGCCATGTCTTCTGAACTTTATTGATTTAAATCAAATAATTTAATTTAATTAAGCTTCATCACGTCTGCCATCTTTTACCTTTACCTTTTATGTTTTATTGATTTTGTTGTAATTTTTTTGTTTGTTGTGAGTCACTCAGAGAAGTTGAAAGTCAGGTGGCATACAAATTTAATATACGATGACTATGACTGCTCCCAGTGAAAGAAATCAAATTTAGTATTATTATTGTTAGCTTTTTGGTCCTAGTACCGAGCACGACCTTTCGGTCCCAACACCCTTTGCACGGCTCAAGGGAGGTCAGTCCTCAACCAACCGCATCTCTTAAGTCCAATATCCAATAAAATAATTGCTATGCAAAAGGTTTATATTCCTTTCCAGTTCCTGCACCCCTCATTTGCCTCCATTCCAATCTGGAGTGCATACAAACTAACCATGTTTTGTAAACAATGGCTCAGCGTGTCAAGCAAATCCATGCAATGGTGGTTTATTGAATAGATAGAGGTGGGCACCATATGAGAACCAAAGCTAGGCTCGTATAAACTTGGAAAGATGGATTATGAAAGATCATCTGGCTGAAAGAAGCTTGCATTTCAAGATAGGGTAGCGTTGAAAGCAGTAACATCAGTTCACTGAGTGATCATGCAAGAAGCAACTTCAGGTAATATTTTACTAGCCATCAGAGTCATCTAAGTCTGAAATTGATCAGAAATAGCCTTAAGACTTCCAAAAAACTCTTATTGATATTCTGTCTCCAAACAACTGCACGAAAGCAATGCCCAAAGCTTGGAAAAAAATTAGCGTGGTAGCAAAGGCAGGAGAAACTGCATCCATGCATCGGTGAGGTTCCTCACTTAGAAACCGTAAGAGATCTGTGGAGATCTATGCTGGTCTTTGTAATAAAGATTTGATTTGATTTTGATTTGATTTGCTGAGATCTGTTCCAACCCTATCCAACTACAACCACATTCCTAGCCTCTCTGCAGGGAAACGGGGTCATAACCCCACTTAAAAACAAGGTGCAAATGAAACCATTGTTTTATTCCTATGTGCAAATCTACTCAATCCAGTTTCTGTTGAAGTCGTATATTCAATTCAATAAGATTTCTCCAATCAAGGACTTGACATTTATCCACCTTGATTAAATTCATTTCGGTTTCAATCCTCTCTTGCCACCCTTCTCTGGGCCAGATGGTGTGGGCTAGGGGGTGGCAATTTCTCTCCCCCACAATGCCCCAGTCTAACATCTAGGTGTGGCACAGATTTGATGGCTATAGAGTTCCAAGGTAGTTATCACACCACAGACACAGTCTTGGATTGTTAGAAATCAACCAGTTGGATCATGGCCAAGGGTGGGAATGGGAGGCATGGCTACAATGCCATCTAAGGAACTTTCTTTTGGAGGAAGAACAATATAATAACAGTTGGAAGGACTGCAAATGTGTCATCTGGAGAAGACCTATCAAAGAGAAATGGACCTCTCAGAAGGTCTATAATACCCATGCAGGATACCACACCCAAGGAGACTAAAGCTTTGTCTTTGATTGTAAGACCAGATCAACTGGGCTTAGGTTAGATTTTGCCTAAATTTTAGGAAAAATATCAGAATGGTAGAAGCAGTTCAGTGATGGAAGTAGGTATCCCAACCAAAATAGAAGATATGGTGAATATTAGCGATTTGGACTAGATCAGCCTTCCTCAATCTTACCCCCCCCCCGATGGATAAATGGGTGCATGTCAACTTTGGGAATTCTCTGCAATGGCCATGATGGCTGGGAAACTCTAGGACTTGAAGGTCCCTCTTCTGGAGCACCTTGATGGGGTAGACAACTATCAGCCACATCCTATTTTTAGGGCTCCCTGATTCAGATAAAATGCATTTATGGAATTTGCTACCATTGAAAACGCACTGCCGGGGAGTTAACAACAGGAAAGGAGACATTTCCTTCACATCCGGCTTGCAAGCTTCCCAAGAGATGTCTGGACCAGTTACTGTGGGAAACAGGATGCTGCAATTGATGGGCCTGTGGATCTAGAAAGGGCTCTTCCTTTAATTCAGTGGTAATACAACCATGTAAACAAGCCTTTTTCGAAACTCTTGCACAAATCAGAATCCTTGAACAAGAGGATCCGGTCACACAAAGGGAGCCAATAGGATTCTACCTGCTTCTCTAAAATCCTCCATTTTCAGAGACCGGGCTGGGTAGACCTAGGAGTGGCATGAAGATCAAAACAAGAGCAGAAGGGAGAAAGCAATGCACACTGGTGTTGTAAAGAGGCAAGTGATGTCACTGCACCAATTATGTCATGACGAATATGATGTCATCATAGCTCCTGCTGGACACCAGTGGCCCTTCTGATACCAACGAACCACAATTAACAGAACGGAACAATTCATATGTGAAGGAAAGTTCAAATTAAGACCAACCTCCACAGGACTCCATTCACAAAACCCACTGACCTTGATTGGGAGGCGGAGCTGGCACTCCCTGTAAGCTAGAACAAACTAGCCATGGTTAAGACTGAGTTTAACCCACTGTACAGAATGCAGCCTATGATTTACTGCTCTGTTACAGAGAAGTTCTGCCCTTCTCTCTACACTGAGTGTGACTGGACATTAAATCACTCCTGATGGAACACAACATAACTCACCATCTAAGGAGGCTCTCTGTGGTCCCTGCCGCGGCTGTAGCTCCTTTCCATATTTGGAAGCCATGCCTAGAATGGTGAGAGATTCAGAAACATTGGGAGGAGGGGTCGGTTAGTAACTCTGCCTCTTCTACAGCCTGTAAGTACACTTTTCTAGTAGCCCGATGTCCGCTGCCAAAGTGAGACACTCAAATAAGAAAACCAGGAGAAGTCCTCACCATGAATACACAACTAACAATAAGCGTGCTTCTGGCAACAAGTGGAGAAGAGAAGAATGCAGGAAGACACAATAGCTGTCTTCAATCATCTGAAGGGCTGTCGTGGAGAAGACAGGGCCGAATTGTTCAATGTCATTGCCGAAGATGGGAGAAGAAAAGAAAGGAGGAGCTTAAATTACAAGGAAGTGGATTTTGGTGGGACATCTGGAGGAGTTTCTGAATGGTAAGAGCTGTTCGACAACAGAACAGGCTATTCCAGAAGGTGGTGGACTCTCCTTTGCTAGAGGCATTTCAACAGACGCTGGGCGGCCATCTGTCAGTGATGCTGTAATCGTCAATTCCTGAACCTGGCAAGGAACTGGACTAGCCCAGTGTTTTTCTAACTTGGCAACTTTAAGATGTGTGGACTTCAATGCCCAGAATTCCCCAGCCAGCATGCTAGACTAGACAGCTCCAAGCTCTTTTCCAACCCTTCCATCCTATGATTCTTCCAAAG